CTGGGAGACAAGTTGTTATAACCAGTGATATATTGAAATAAAATTTCAATGAGTGAATGGGAAGACATTACTTTTATATTTTATGTTTATACATGAAATAGATATTATATATCTTAAAAACAATTATGATACATGGTAGCTATGCCACAGGACACATTTCCACTTTTTTTATAGACTTTCAGCTATCAACTTAAAGAGATAAGTACTTAATCAGTTAAATGAGTCAAATGTTACCTTTCCCAAAACACATTATGCAATTAGCACCTACTGAGGTCATTAGGAATTTAATAAGAAAAAAAAAGGAAGGGGAAGATTACCTAACATTGTCCTTTATACAGTTTTTGCTTCTTTAATGGGTACCCTCAGCTGGTAAATAAACATCCTTGTAAGGTCTATAATGTACTATAAAATCAGTTTCTAAATTAAATCAATAGTGCTTAGGGTGATAGTAGATGATGGTGAAGTATTTTTCTTTACATATATTTATTTTTTTAATTTTGGTAAGATTATTATGTGGATTGGTATGATTCATGTTTGACTTGTTGTTGCATTATCAAGTTTTTGTTAAAGCTGGGTTTCCATGACCACTACTTCCATGATTTATGAACTTGATTGAATGTTTTAGATTAGGAAATTTTGTTTCTGGCTGGATTTTGTTTAAATTATTTGAGTGTGAATGCTGGTTATAAAATTACATTTGATTCTAAAGTAAATTAATCTTTTAAAAGAGAGAAAGAAAAAAAGATAGACAGCGGCAGAAACAACGTAAAGAGAATGATGTACCTACAGCAATGTTTTCTGGAAACATGGAACCAGTGAAAAAACGGAGCAAGTTAATTCTACCAGATCCACAGATATCTGACATGGAACTAGAGCAGGTAAGGCAAATACACGATTAGTCTAAAGTATACGTAATCATTTTTTACAGCTTAGAAATGAGATTTAAACTATATAGTGTATTTTAAGCATTTTTTCTAATGAAGTTTTTTTTCCTTACCTTAAACCTGTAATGAAAGCTGTCTTCTCAAAACTATAATTTGTTTTTGCAAAATTGGAATAGGATGTTTGTAGACTATCATTTTTAGTAAAGTTTATTGTTGATCTTTTATAAACAAATGCAAAAAAAAGAACAAAAACAACAATTAGTTGAAATTGTTAACACAATAGTTGTGATGCTCTGAACCCAGGAAGTACTCGAAGCTGTCTTAATTTATTGTTTTAATTTATCATTTCTTCTTAATCTTTTTGTATGTGGTGTAATTTCATCTGTTTGCTATGTAGGTTGTAAAAGTTGGAAAAGCTAATGAAATAGCCAGAGAAATCATCGATGAAGGAGCAAACAAAGCTTCAGACACTTTATTATCTGACTATGATATTACTCCTGGGATAACAAGTGTGCGAACACCACGAACCCCAGCCTCAAGCAGGGAATCTATTCTACAGGTAGGGTAAAAAAAGGGTTTATATAACATTTTGTTTTTACAGACATTATCGTCAATGCTATCAGAAAGCATTCACACACACTTAACTTGCTGGGCTGCATCTAACTTATCTTTTATTTTTGGAAAGTTAGTCTTATAAATTTAACTCAATGACTCATTTCATAATGGTCTAACTTGGTCTTAAAATATTAATGGACTATTTTCCTGTAGTTTGTTCATCAGAGTTGAGATTTTTGTTCCAGATTAAATCACTTGATGTTCAGTATGGAATAGGTTAAGGCTTTTTTTTTCTTCTAAGATTCATATGTTATGTCTAAGTTATGATTACTTGGTGATCTGCTGATTTCTTGTTTTTATTTTAAATACAATTATTGTTGGATTGTTTCCACTGGTTGCTTTATAATGTTTTTTTTTTTCACACTAGAAAATAAAATTTAAAATCACTTTCAGACAAAAGTAAATGTAATATTCAGCATAGTTTTGTTGTAGCAAACAATTTAATCATATCCCTTTAGGAAGCCCAGAACATTATGGCATTGACAAATGTTGACACTCCACTGAAGGGTGGGCTGAATACCCCTTTGCATGATTCTGATTTTAGTGGAGCAACTCCCAAGACTCAACAAGCCCAAACACCGAACACTTTATATTCTTCTCCTTTCAGAACTCCAGGGAAAGGTTCAACAGCTGCAGGTTAGCTATTGTTATTGTAAAGAAAAAAAAAAAGGCCAGAATGTAATATGAAAACTTAATATTTTCTTTTAATTTGTGAAGATAAAATAAATATCTGAACATTTGTTAGTTATTTTCAGTCATGCATTTTAAATTTTTATTTTTTTGAATAGATGTATAATTTTGATAGCTGCTTGGATTAACTAATACCATTATTTAGTAAGAATAAAGACAAGTTAAGACCATGAATTAGTAAGTACAAAAACTAGTGAACATCATGATTAGTTACTACTAGGAATAGTGAAAATCACAATTTAGTAAGTACAAAGACTAGCAAAAACCATGATTTAGTAAGTACACAGGCTAGCAAGCTCATGATTTAGTTACCACTAAGACTAGTATAAATCATGACCTAGTAAGTACACAGGCTAGCAAACTCATGATTAAGTTAATACTAGGATTAGTAAAAATCATGATTTAGTAAGTACACAGGCTAGCAAGCTCATGATTTAGTTACTACTAAGACTAGTATAAATCATGATTTAGTAAGTGCAAATACTAGTGAAAACCTTGATTTAGTAAGTACACAGGCTAGCAAACTCATGATTTAGTTAATGTTGGATTAGTATAAATCAATATTTAGTAAGTACAAATACTAGTGAAAACCATGATTTAGTAAGTACACAGGCTAGCAAAGTCATGATTTAGTTACTACTAAGACTAATAGAAATCATGATTTGGTAAGTACACAGGCTAGCCAACTCATGATTTAGTTAATACTATGATTAGTAGAAATCATGATTTAGTTAATACAAGGATTAATAAAAATCATGATTTAGTAAGTACAAATACTAGTGAAAACCATGATTTAGTAAGTACACAGGCTAGCAAACTCATGATTTAGTTACTACTAAGACTAGTAGAAATCATGATTTAGTAAGTACAAATACTAGTGAAAACCATGATTTAGTAAGTACGCAGGTTAGCAAACTCGTGATTAGTTACTACTAAGACTAGTAGAAATCATGATTTAGTAAGTACAAATACTAGTGAAAACCATGATTTAGTAAGTACGCAGGCTAGCAAACTCATGATTAGTTAGTACTAGGACTAATGGAAATCAGAATTCCAAAATATAATTACCTCTTCTCACACAACAGCTATTACTCGGCTGCCAGGGTTTCTTCCTTTGCCCATCTAAGCATTGGTCTGATTTTTTTCTCGCTTGCTCCAGTCTTTGATACCCCATTCAGTTGCCCTTGGCAATATTGTCCCATTACACTCTCCACCTATGTCAATGCACCCTCTATCCTGGCACCTCATTCAGATAATGTTATCACTTTTTCTTAATAAAGCATTCACTAGCAGGTTTCTCTGTGCTATGATCCTTGGAAACGCTTTGAGCATTCTTCACCTTACTTAGTTTATTT